TATATATATATATATATATATATACACACACAACAACAACAAGTAGGAATAATAGCAAGATGAAATAAGATCGAATCCAAGAATGCAGTCAAACTCTAGGTAGTAATAGCCATCTATGAATAAAAGATAACATACTAACACAAATGCTAGCGACAAAGAGAAACCTTCGACTACCTACTAACCTTCTACCCTAATCATTTACCTTCACACCCTCCTGTCCAGGGACATGTCCTCAGTCTGCTCCAGCTGCGCAATGTCCCGCCTAATAAGCTCTCTCCAAGACTTGTTAGGCCTACCTCTACCCTCCTGCTCCCCACCGAGGCTAACCGCTCACACCGACCATGTGACAATAACATGCTAGTCTCTTTACTATGGACATCTACTAAGGCCCCACCCAAATGAAGAGCTGAAGTGTTCAGGGGGGAAAACCTTGTAATAATACCGCTAGCATGAAATGTGAAGGAGAAATTACATTGATAAGCAGAAGAAAACAAATGCAAATCCCAATAAAGGCAAAAAAAAAAAATCATTAATACAAACCTTGGTTGACAGAGGTAGCAGGTACCCCTAGAGGTGACCACAAACTGAATCAGACACAACACAGTGGTTATCAAGAAAACAAACAAATGCAAAGCTTGAAAAAGGAGAGGGATCAATCAGAAATTACGGCATAGTGTTCCTCAGTCAGGTGTCGAGCGATCGGACGATCCAAGAGTTGCATACGAACGGAATGCCCCTTGATAGGAACTGAGTAACACTACGTACCAAAAACACGAAACTAAATGAATATGAGGAAAAAGGGAAAATATGTTGCAAAAGAGGGGAAGCCGAATATGGGGATTTTGACTAAAGTCAAATTAGAGAAGCTATTAAGTCTTTAAGGGTCTACAAGTTTAGTTATTGTCATTTGAATCCTATTAATTTTTTATTTATCTATTTCAGTATTTAGGTTTATTTCCGAGAATTGCAGAGGTGTCCCTTTTTATTCGTTGTAATAGTAAAAATACAACTACAACAACAATAACAATAATAATAAACCCACTGAATTCCCATAAGTGAGAACTAGGGAGGTTAAGATGTATGCAACATTACCCATACCCTGGAAGAACAGAGAAGTTATTTCCGATAGACCCTCGGCTAAAGAAAGGACAAAAAAAAGTAATGGCAACAAGTAGTAACAACAACAAGATAAAAAGAAGGTTGAAGCCAAGATAGCAATTATGCGAGCAATCTAAGAATAAAAAGATATCATACTAACACTAATGCTATAGAACTGAGGAAGACAAAAGGAAAGTGCATGACTATCTACTAACCTTCTACCCGTAATCCTCGACCTTCACACCCTCTTATCAAGGGTCACGTCCTCAGTAAGCTCCAAGTGTGTCATGTCCCGCCTAATCACCTCTTTCCAAGACTTCTTTGGCCTATCTCTACCCCTATGTATACCCACTAAGGTTAACCTCTCACACCTCATAACTATGGCTTATGTGCTTCTCCTCTTAACATTTCTGAACCATCTCAACCTCGCCCCCCGTACCTTATCCTCCACATGGCCATACTCATCTTATCCCAAATAACTTCATTCCTAATCTTATCTAACCTGGTATATCCACACATTCATCTCAACATCATCACATCAGCTGCTTTCATCTTCTGGACATGAGCGTTCTTGACCGGCCAATACTCTACCATATACAACATAGTCCGTCTAGCCACTACTTTGTAGAACTTCCCTTTAAGTTTCAGTGGCACGTTCTTATCACAAAGAACACCAGAAGCAAACCTCCACTTCATCCATCTTGATCAAATACGATGCATGACATCCTCGTCAATCTCTCCATCATCTTGTATTATTGACCCAAGGTACTTGAAACTTCCTCTCCTGGAAATGACTTGTCTACCAAGCCTCACATCCATGGTTGCTTCTTGGGTAATGTTGTTGAACTTGCACTCTAAGTACTCCGTCTTGGTTCTGCTCAGCTTGAAACCATTAGACTCAAGAGTATATCTCTAAACCTCCAGCCTCTCCTTAACACCACTTCACGTCTCGTCAATTAAAATTATATCACCTACTAGTACAAAATAATGTGGTATTTTGATTGATTTCTAGGTGACCCTAGTATACTTAGTTATAGTATTTATATCAAATTTGTAGAAGAATCCATATCGAAGAACGGACATCTAATATTTTTTCTTACCTAATTTTCCTCAACTTTCTAATTTTAGCTTTTCCTTAAAAATTTCAGTAGCTCCTATGCTACAATTGGTATCAAAGTTAGGTTTTCCGACGACTTGGTGGAACGATGCCGGAAATATAGAAAAGAATGAGATAATCTCAACTTTAGGTTTACATTGAATAATTTCATAAGAGAATGGAGTTGATGGAGCTGAATCGGGTTCGTATTAACACGGAAGCTCAGCAACTCCATAAAGAAAGTATTCATAATTTTTGTTAAGCTAATGAGCTGAAAGAAAATTAGAATTAGTGGCTTCAGGTTGATCTTTAGTAGGTTTAGCTCTGGGAGGCTCTTCAGTGGAAAGAGGAAAGTCTTACATGAAAAGGACTATGGGTTTGGTGATATCTTCGATGACGCCATCGTCCATAGTCTCCGGTGCTGGCACTCCTAACACGAGGAATGACCTTATCTCTAGCTTCCTTCAATCCTCGGATACTATGTACTCTCATTTCGATAATCAATTGTATACCTTCAACCCTAAATTCCTCTCTTTATTCCCCAGCTCTCGTCTCTCTATTACACCCAATCTTCACTGCTATTCACTACTCGTCGACTCCTCAATCTTTTTTCTCATCCCATAACTACCTCTAGTACGGCCACTTGTTATGTCTAGGAAGAGGCTAACCCAAAAATAAATAAGATAAAGAACACCAAATTTTAACGTGAAAAATCCTTCAAATCGAAGGTAAAACCACGAGATCACAAAGATCCAAAAAACTCTACTATAATAATAAGAGGGTTACAAAAGTTCTCCAAATTCGCTACACAACAAGTGCCAAACACGGGGCAACAATAAATCAATTGAAGAAAGAGAAGTCACAAAAATAAAGATGTTGCTCGGGACTCGAAATCAGATTCTATGGACCTCTAAATCCGATCTTCACCGTTCAAATCAAAGATCAAAATGTTATGAACACTAAGTCAAAATTTCAGCCCGATCCTACGGTTAATGAATCGAAAAAAGTGATTTGGCTGGTCGGAACAATACCTACAGCAAAACAAATATTTTTTCTTCTCTCTTTTCTCTTGATGAAAGCTCTCTCAAAAATCACTCTTATGTGCTTAAGTCTTCCAAAGACTTGTACCAATGAGCATAGAACAATTCTCCAAGGTTGTCCTATTTATAGATAATGAGTGGTGCTTTCTCTTAAATCCAAAACCAACTCTAAATAGGAATAAAAATCGAATCCAATTCCGAATAGGAAAAGAAACCAAAAGAGAATAGGATTAGGCTATTGGGCATTTGGCTGGACAACATGGGCATGGGCCCAACAAACTTACCCTCCATCCAAGGGGCTAAATATGTCTTCAAGTATAGGAACTATTGACAAGCTTCATGTCTGCCAATGTTTTGCAAAACACATGCTTATCTGCAACCACCGCTTTTGTCAGCATATCCGAAGGATTTTCATCAGTGTGTATCTTCTCAACCTCAAATAATTTCTCTTTCATAGCTATTCTTATCCATTTGTTTGATAAATCTCTCTTACCTTTCGGAAAATTCATTAACTCATATGTGCCACTCTCATGGAGTGACTTCATCTCATCTTCCATGGTTTCTATCCACTTATAATTGTGAGTATCTTGCATGGATTCATCATAATTCTCAGGTTCTCTCATGTCAGTCGAAATCACATACTCATTAGGAGGATAGCACATGAATTTTTGCTTCTTCTTTGTAGATCTTCTAAGGGTTTCAGGAGCATTCGAAGTAGTTACCTAAGCAGGGATTGGTTGCTGATCAACCACAACTTCATCAACTGGAGCATCCATAACATCTACACCATGATGATCATTTTGATCTTGATCACTATCTTTATTATTGTCTTGGGTTCCTTCATGTGCAATAGGTTCCTTGGCAACAGAAACTGGATCAATATCAACTAAGCTCTCATTACTCTGAGAATCCACATTCTCAGCTTTGTCAATATCTTCAATAGTATGGTCTTCAAAGAATATTGCATCATGACTTTTAATAAGTTTATTGTCAACTGGATCATAAAAACGATACCCAAACTCATCTTGACCATAACCGATAAAAATGCACTGCTTAGTTTTAACATCCAGTTTCGATCTCTCATCTTTAGGAACATGCGCACAACCTTTATACCCAAAAACTCTCAGGTGATCATAAAAAATATCTTTGGCAAACCAAACTTTACCTGGGACATCACCATCCAAAGCAGCACCAGGAGACAAATTGATAACATAAGCAACAATATTAAGTGATTTCGCCCAAAATGTATTTAGAAGTTTAGCCTCTGAAAGCAAGCATCTAACTCTCTCAACTAGAGTTCTGTCCATCCTCTCTGCCAAACCATTCAATTGAGGTGTCTTGGGCGGACTTTTCTGATGACAAATTCCTTGTTCCTTACAATAGTTATCAAATGGACCACAATATTCACCAATATTGTCAGTACGAATGCATATTAATTTCGTCCCCGTCTGTCTCTCAACTAAGGCCTGAAATTCCTTAAACACGCCAAGTGCTTGATCTTTAGTTTTAAAGGATACACCCAAAGCTTACGAGAATGATCATCGATAAAGATCACAAAGCAAAGTGCACCACCTTTTGACTTTACTTTAAAAGGACCACATAAATCAGAGTGTAGTAGCTCCAATAATTCGGACTTTCTTGAAGGAGAATGGCTATGAAAGGAAACCTTTTTCTGTTTGCCAGCTAAACAATGGATACACCTTTTCAGGTTTTCTTGTTTCACTCCAAAAAGCAAGCTTTTCTTAGCCAAATGCGTAATCCCTCTCTCGCTCATATGACTCAATCTTCTGTGTCACAATTCTAATAAAGTATCAGTTTTCACCAGATTTATGGAGTCATTAAGAATAGATCCTTGTGTCACATATAATTGAGAAGACTTGACTCCTCGATCCACTACTAATAAACCCTTGGTGAGCTTCCATTGGCCATTTAAGAGGGCATTATGGTAACCTTCATCGTCTAATCTTCCCATGGAGATCAAATTGAAAGGAAAGTCTGGAGTATGCTTGACATTTTGAAGAACTAACATTGAACCATTATTAGTTTTCAAACAAACTGTATCAATACCAAACACCTTAAATTCACTGGCATTGCCCATCTTTAACATTCTAGAATCAACAAGAGTATAAGATGAGAAAAAATATTTTCTTGGTGTGACATGTGAGGTAACTCCAGAATCTACTATCTAGCTTATCTCATGAGATACAAAATTAATGACGTTTTCATCATAAGTAAAAAGAAGGTCATCTCTAACTATAGCAACGACATTGTTCTCGTTATTTTCAACTTTCTTTCCTTCTCTAATGTCTTGCTTCAACTTGTGGACGAACCTTTTGATGTGCCATTTATCGCCACAGTGGTTGCACGTAATATTATGGTATTTGGACCTTGACTTACTTCTACTTTTATCTCTATTCCTCGAACCTCTTGTTCTATCTCTCCCCCGATCTTTTGTAACCAAGATATCTGCTTGTGAGGATGAACCCTGAGATTTTCTCCCTACTTCCTCGTTCAATACACCACTCTTGGCATATTCCATGGTCACCTTACCACCAGGAGCTGAGTTTGTCAAAGATACA